AGGGTGGCCCTGGAGTCTTCCAAACTATGCAGCTTGGCATCTGTCTGTTGTGAGAACAGATCTGCCCCCTCAAACAGTAGGTCCTGCAGCATATGTTGTACTTCTGGAGGTATGCCTGACACCAGTAATCAGGCCCCACAGTGTGTCACAATGCCAGTGGCCATAGTACGTGCTGCTGAATCTGCAACATCTAGTATGGCCTGAAATGCTACATGGGAAATCACTCTACCCTCTTAGTCAGTGCAGCAAACTTCTGGCAGGAGTCCAGAGGAAGGAATTCCTTAAAATTCTCCATTGCTGACCAAGTGTTGTATGCATACCTTGCTTATCACTGCCTGCTAATTAGCAATGTGTAGTTGCAGGCCCCCCATAATGTATGCCTTCCTTCCCAGTAGGTCCGGGTTTTTTTGATTCTCTACTCTTTGGTTTGGCCCCGGTTGACTTTGCGTCTCCTTCTGACTGGCTGACTGCACCACAATAGAGTCCGGGAGTCGGTGAGAATATAAATGCTCATTTCCCGTCTGGGGGACAAAATAGCGCCTCTCTGCTCCCTTCTGGGTAAGTGAGATGGATGATGACATCTGCAAATTATTGGCAATTTTCAACACTGTCTTATTCAGTGGTAATGCCAGTCTTGGGGGTGTGTTCACCGCTAATATGTCCACCATGGGATTGGCATCCTCCACTTGAACCCCCAAATTGGCTGCCAGCCTATGGAGTAGATCTTGGTGGGTCCTAGCATCCATGGAGGACATAGATGGGGCAAGGACAGCCAAAGCCTCATCCAGGGAGAATGATGAGGACTCCCTGAGCACAGGTTGGTCCTGAGGTGGTTCTACTGCCTGCCCCCTAGCCCTGCCAGGGTTGCAATCTTGTGGGCCCGGGTCCTCACCCTCAGCTCAAGGCTATTGTGCGTCTTTCTGTGGGGCTGTCTCTGTCCTCTGAGACAGGGCCCCATGTTAATGGGATAGCTGATGGTGTGCTCCTAGAACATGTTGACACCGAGCTGTAGGCTGATGGCATTGGACCCTGCATTTGATAGTAGCCCCAAGAGGTCCAGAAAGGCCACTGTGGCTACGGTGGAGGTGGCCAACCTGCTGCATCTGATACCTCTGGTGCCAGGGGCAGATGACTGTTTTGCGGGGCCCCGGGCAACATAACTCCACGGGGCTCCCCCCTTTGCCACGTCGCATGCGCCGCAACGCCATGCATGGGGCTTTTTTAAGCGCGGAGCCCGAGGCAGCCGCCCCGTTTGCCCTGCCCTATATCTGCCCCTGCCTGGTGCTTGGATTGGTGTCGAGAATCATAGAATCATAGAACCATAGAGCTGGCAGCGACCTCAGAAGGCCATCAACTTGCTGAGGGTGCAATCTATCCCCTCATTCAAATCATTAATAAAGATGTTGAACAAAGCCGGTTCCAGAACCAAATCTTGGGGCACTCTGCTAGAAAGCGACCACCATCCTGATGACCTACCCGCTGGACCCGACCTTCCAGCCAGCTTTCTATCCATCTTACCATATATTTATCCAATCCACATTTCCTTAACTTTCTGTCAAGAATATTGTGGGAGATAGTATCAAAAGCCTTGCTAAAGTCAAGGTATATCACATCCACTGACTTTCCCATATCCTGAGAGCCAGTTACCTCATCATAGAATCTAATCAGATTGATCCGGCACGACTTGCCCTTCATGAATCCATACTGGCTATTCCTCATTACCTTCCCCTCTTCCAAGTGCTTCAAAATGGATTCTCCAAAAACTTCCTAGATTGTCTGTGTATTGCTGTATTGGTGTCCCAACAGATGTCAGGGTGATTAAAGTCCCCCATGAGAACCAGAGTCTGCAATCTGGAAACTTCTTTCAGTTGTCCGAAGAAAGCCTAATTTTTCGGTGGGCTCAGTGCTGTGTGAAGAGGCCCTGGACCACACCGAATCCACACTGGATTCTGATAAATAGTCCAACACTGACCACGGAGGTGCTGTTGAGGGTGTCCAAGATAGGTGCCAAGGCTGGTGCTGAGCCATCAACTCCAGCTTGCCCTGATGGATCAGTGCCAGTTTTCCCATAGGTGCCAAGTGTTATATTTCAGTGCACGCTGTATTGGTGCCGCCTATACCAAGGCCACTGGTGCTGCAGGCCATGCCCTCGAGTCTTACGGTGCCAGCAGTAGTGGTACCAAAGAGACCATATCTACCGCAAGTGCTACCAATACTGATGCTGCCACTTGTGCAGCCAAAGCCATCAGTGCTGTAGCCAGTGGGCCCATCTGTGGTGCTGCATATCTGGCCTGCTGCAGCTCAGGATCCAGTGCTGGAAGACAGTCCAGTGAGGCTATGAGCTCTATAAACTCCTTGGCAGCATCAAAGGTGTCAGGAGTCAACAGCCTCATATTCTGCAGTACCCTATCTGGTATCAGGGGCACACCAAGCTCAACCGTTGCCTAGAGGGACCAGGAACATTTAAGTGCTGAGGGGGCAAACTTTCCAATGGACCTAAGTCTTGGTGCCATCCTCTGTGACCATGCTTCAAGGGGGATCTCTCCCCGTGCTGTCTCCTCTTCTTGGGCACTGGAGATTGTGATCGGTGCCTTGGAGCGGTACTCTTCTGTGAGCCATAGGGTGTACCAGTGGTGTTGAGGACTTTGTTTTGAGTCCAATGCTGGCTGCAGTGCTGACTCCCGGAGGAGCAGTTTTAAGTGGGGGAAACATTCCCGTTTGGTGCGGGGCTTAAAGCTTCTACAGATTTTACAAGAATCTGCAAGGTGGCCCTCTTCTAGACACTTCTTGCAAGAGTCATGGGGGTCCCCCTCTAGGGATGTTAAGTAGCGATTAATTTGCTAGTTGAGTAGTTGATGGAATTTCCATCAACTACTCAACTAGTCATTAGGGAAAGGCTCACTTCTGGGTCTCAGCACAAGACCCCCAAATTTTCCCTGTTGCTGTTCTGCTCTCTTAAAGGGACAGAGAGAAGCCAGCATGCAAAAATGCT